ACTGACCCCGGGCCCTCGGGCAGTGCCCGAGTGTTCGAATGGTCAGTCCGCCCCTGTTTCATGCACTTACATAACTAATTTAATTTGCTCACGTGGTGACTTTAGTGGATCAGAAGGACTTTTTAATTCAATCACATTTTTATAATTTTTTGGTGGACTTATTTGAAGTATTTATGTGTTTGAAGAATTGGACTTTTACTGATTTAATTTAATTTCATTGATTTTTTATATATTTATATTTATTTGTTATAGCACAGTATTGAATTGTATATTTATTTTTGTCACTGTGTTATACTTGATTTTTTTTGAGCTGCTTTCACTGGTCATTATAAAGATTTATGGGGTGATTATTGATATTTCACTATTTAAGGCAGCAGACTAGACATGTTCCATTTATTCATTTATTTATGTGAGTTATTTTCTATTCACTCATTAAGTTGTTAGGCCATTTAATATTATTTATTAATTTTATTTTTTTTTTGGTGTGTGGTTTAGCTCGGTGAATATACTTTTGATACATTTATTTCTTCAATTATTTATTAACAGTCTCCAGTTATAAAGCTGAAAAATACTACTGTATGGGGAATCCAAATAGTGTTTTACAGACTCCATTCCTGCGACTCACTCAAATATTCCACTAGCCTAAGGCAACACTCAGTTGCTCCATCTATTTACAGTATGCAATCTAGTTACTATTCTAGAAAGGTCTGTATTTGTCACGCAGAAAAAAATATATAATGCAATTTCATCTCATTATTTATGATTGTAGAATGGGTGGAAACCCCAGTTTGAGGTCATTAGGTTTAAGTTGTACTCATGTTGAAACAGCTGACATTCATAACCATGTCATGATTGTAAATGCCACTAGATGGCAGTGTGCCAGGCAGTGCTGTATCACTTTCTTCTGACCACACAATATGGCAGTTCATGAGACTTTCCGGATTAAAATTACTGTGCACAGGTGACAAATCATAGCTCATAAACAGCCGGGATGTGTGACACAACAAGGGTGTCAAATGTTCAAAATGCTTAGAGCAAGGCAGAGAAAAAACTAGATAATTGAAGCAATTATGCACAAATGATTATCTCTTATATTTTCACCCTTTCCTTCCAGCCTTTTGAAAGAAGTCATCAAGATCCCTACATTCCAACATTGTAAATATTATTCTGGCCAGTGAAATGAACTCACGCCTAAGCACTTTATACGTCTAAACACATTACATGCATTTCCAAGCATAAAGCTTCTGCCAAAACACCAGTGCCAGGACAAAAGGCGTCTAGGAGAGATTTGCAGAAACGTTCATTGTACATGAGGCCTCAATATATTGTATATGATAGCATTAGTCCAAATATCGCCAGATCACATTACACTTTCCTGTTTAGTTGTTTTTCAGTTTTTCTCCAATGTGCAGTATTTTTCAGGATTTATTTTGTTTAAATTGAAGTAAACCTGTTATGAAAGAAATATAAAGCTTCTATTACTAGCCCCTATCATAGAATAACCCTGGCACAGTCAAGGAGGGTGACAACAATTAAGAGCCTACAGTTCTGTTCCGTGTCATTGCCCCAGCTACAGCTTTGAAACCACAACACCGCAAAAGCTCCTACCTTTCCATCCATCGCATACTAAGTAGACACTTCATTTTAAACTTCAGCTTGCGTCTGACACCTCAATTTAAAAACAGATTTTCAGCATGCTGTGATCATTCATTTAGAATGAACCCCAACTCTTTCTCCATTTTTTTTTTACTGCACACATCAAATGTTTTGGTTCACTGAGGTACACTGTAGTGCAGGTGCAAGCTGAAGGCTAGTTTGGGTACCATTCAAAATGATTGACACTGCAACATATCACATGTATTTGATGTGGTACCATGCACAGCTAAAACACACATGTTTTGGAAGGGCTCTAAACCAGTTTTAGGAAATTTAAGAAATCACAATATGTTAAGTGTTTACTGTGTGCTGATTTTTCTAAGAGATGTACCGATTTTTATTCCCTGCTTTGCATGGAAACAAAAGCCAGCACATCGCCACTGTCAGAAGAGAGCTCTTTGTTGTTTACAGTCCTGTCATCCACTCCGCCAACTAGTGGATGCTGGCCATAAATCATTGTCCGGGACTCGCAGATTGGCTTGTGCTGTAACAAATCGCAGCACAGCCAGGGAGATGGGTGCATGCACGAGCCTCTCCTACTGGAAGAGCCGGATCACGTATCAGATACATGATCCAGCACAGAGCGGCCGCCCTGCAGCAGTATATCTGCAGTGGTCAGTCTGCAAGCTGTTGAACAAAAGAGTAGTTTCCATTTTAGCAGATTGTTCTGTGTGACTGTGTCATGGTGGACAACCTATTCTCCCAACACAAAATAGGAGATTTACTAAAACTGGTTGACTCAGAATCTTGGGCACCTGTGCATGGTAGCCAATCAGCTTCTAACCTTAGCATGTTCAATTAAGCTTTAGCAATAAAACCTGGAAGCTGATTGGTTTTTATGCAGAAGTGGACAAGATTTTGAGTCAACCAGGTTTAGTAAATTAACCCCAAAGTGTCTGGTTCGTATTTGACCCTGTTCATTAGGATTTCCTAAAATCATCTGCAACCGCTGATATAGATAGGAGATGTGAGAGACCCAATTGTTGGGCACTTGTTCACTAGGAATGTTTCCCTCTCTTAGGCTGTACATATGGTCGTTCTTTATTGTGGTTGTGTAATCGATACTGACTCACGGTGTCAGTGCTGTGTAGATGTGTGGATTGATGATAGGATGAGGGAATTTCCCCCTTCATAGTGCAGTTATTGGAGTTTTCCCAACGCAATTTAGATGAGTCAGTGACAACAAATAATAGGAGAAATTTGATGCAGTACAGATTTTTCTTCTTACACATTGACTGGTCACAGACAAGCAGATTCTCACAGTGAACCCACAACAGAGGCACAGAAAGCATAGTTAGACAAGTTAAAAAAAAGACACATATACATCAATAACAGCCAATAGAAAAATGAATAAATAAATCAAATGAGGTTTTTGCACATTTCTAAAATGAAAACAGGGTTGTGTCATTTAGCCAAATATATTACAATAAAATCAAATGAAATATGACTGTGTTGTGCTAAACAATTTTAACCAAATGTGATCTGTGCTCTCAATGCAAAAGTATACATTGAATAAATAAATCATAATAAAAAAAAAAAAAAAAAAAAAAAAAACTTATAGTAGAAAATTAAACTGAATAAGTCCAAAAAAGTCCCATCCAAGAATGTGCAAATAGGTGAAATACACCTCTTCTTGAGACCCTCTATATGTAGTGCCTCTGACAAGCACTTTACACCCAAAGTGATAGCAGAGTACTCACTTACCAACTTCCCATGACGCCCTTAAAGTTAAGTGTGGTCATGAAGCACTTGTGTAATGTCCCTGGACATCTAGGTTACCTTCCAAGCCACCTCAGTATCAGCCAGGGACACTATCAATAAGGTAAGTATATGCAAGTTTCCACATTAAATGTCATGTAAGTCAAGAAAGAAGAAGCCTCTCTATAGTGTAAAACCTTTAAAATGATTTATTCTAACCAAGAAATGCATTCACACAAGTTAAAAGACATGCGCATGTAAATATAGTCACCAAACTGGCATCAACATCTACTTCCTGGAACATGATGACATCAGTAGGATGCTTTGCCCAATGTGTTTGTCACCAGAAGACATCTTCTGGGGCAATGCTGCCCATACTCTTAACTTCAAGGCAGTCATGGGAAGATGGCAAGTGAGTATTATTTGCGCTCAAGCGTGCGGTTTTAGCAAAAACATTGACCTTGTATAATGAAATCAAATGGTGTAAATTTTTCTAGCATTACTTGTGATTGCTGAATTCGGCTCACTTGTATTCTAGAGGCACTATGGGAGAACATGATGACGTCAGTAGGAGGCTTTGCCCAATGCGTTTGTCATCAAAAGACATCTTTTGGGGCAATGCTGCCCATACTTTTAACTTCAAGGGGGTCATGAGAAGATGGCAAGCGAGTATTATTTGTGCTCAAGCGCACGGTTTTAGCAAAAACATTGACCACGTGTAATAAAATCAAATGGTGAGAATGTTTCTAGCATCGCTTGTGATTGCTGAATTCCTCTCACTTGTGTTCTAAAGACACTATGGGAGAACTCCTCTGCAGTGAGGTTAAAGAGGTTCTTCACCTTGTTTGAAAAAAATTAAAAGTCAGCTGCTACAAATACTAGGCAGTCACACTGAAAGTGGGAGCAGGTTACCTGTCAAAACCTCCCAATTCCCTCCCACCCCCCAAGAAAAAAGTGCCAAAAGAAGAAGAGGAGGGTGGCATAAAGCAGAACTTCTCCTTTAGGGTGAAGTTTCTGCTTTATATTCCCCCTTTGAGAGTTAGCACCAAAATGGGTGCTCGATTGAGAGATTTCCTCTTGCTTGCTCCAGTAACAATGGTAGAATTTTGCATTTCCCTCCATTTCTGTTCCTGTGACAGTGGTCACCAGGACAAATAGAGGGGTATGAGAGCTGCTTAAAGGCATCTTTGAACTCAACATATCAGTTGCAATTAATAGATATTGGACTGTGACACTTAACATTTGGCACTTCATATCGAGATCTTTTGAAGTGCAATGAAAGCCTGACAGGGGTTCTAACCATTTCACATTCCAACCAAAACCTAAAAACAGATATATTTATTTATATAGAGTAAGGTACTATTCTTTTGTTTGGATTTCATTTACTTTTAATAATGATGATTTTCGCAAAGCTGTTTAGTTGGTTGTTGTGCACTTTTATTGTTGGGTTTTTTTGCTGCTTATGAGGACCTTACCTTCCACTGCAACATTCCTGACAGGTGTACAATAGATAACATTCCCCTATGCTATGCATACTTAAGCCGAGAATATTGTCAAGGTAATGGTCCCTGTAAATGTCTTTCTCTTTGTATATTACAGGAGAACTTCAATTTCTGGGAACTGGAAGACTAACACGTGGATCTGCCATGCTGGAACAAATTGCTGTGTCTGACAGGTATGTTTCCATAGTCCCATCACTGGAATAGTGTGCAAGTTTTTTAGGGTGCATGCATCATGGGGCTACTTACTAGTAATGGAAACCATAGCTAACCCATATGTAGCCTAGGAGAGAAACATTCATGTGTGGATCCATGGCAGGCAGCACCATTCGTGTACTAACTACTTTAAATTCTAGTGGGAAATTTAGCCTTCTGATTATAATAAAACCCACTCACATGTTTTGCATTTTTTTTTCATGGAGTGGGCTGGAGTTTGGCTCCTCGAATACCTAACAGGTTTACAGTTTGATAACTTACTTAAACAATCCATTCAATAATAAAATGAAAAGTAAAAAAAACCTTCATCTTATAACACTTAGACTGCCCCCAGCAGCTAATCTAAACACCCCCTCTCCCACAGAAACCATAATTTCACACTTAATCTGGTTCTAATATCCCTTATCCTTCTCCTGACCTCAGCCTAATGCTATTATATTGCAAAATGTAGTACTTAACTCTAACCCTAAAGAATTTAACCCATTCAGTTCTAACCTTAACTCATGATACCCCTAACCTTAAAATGATTTTGTATTTTCCTAAATAAATAAGTCCCTGCAAAAGAACACTATTTACTTCTCTCTTGCCTCCATGCCCTATATCACTAGTACAGTAATGGAATAGCGATCGGCGGATGGAACCACAACACACAGACAGTATAGCTCAAGAAAAAACAGATCCAAGACACATGCAGCAGGTCAAGTAAGTATTAATAGTCTCCTTTCGCATAGCAGCAACAGAGTCACTTTAACCTAATCTAGAATACAAAATTAATTCCTTCTAATACCTATTTACTTGTGTCCAAGGCGTGCTGAGGTCCAGGAGCCAAAAAGCACTGTTTTTTTATACATTGCAACAGGGCTTATTTAACATTCAATGACCAGCTTAATGGAGCCAGTTCTGGACAGACACTGAAAGTCAAAGTGTGACTCATCACATTGAAATTTTCATAGTTTCTGTAAATCTTCATTTTATACATAAAACACCCCGAGCTCTTGGTCAATATTTCACATTCATGATTTTGAACAGATATCCTCTGTGACCTCTTTTTCAGGCATGCCAGACACAAATGGAAAGTTCTGTGTGCATTTGTTCTTAGGAAATCAGTGGGGCAGACCATATTCCTGATAATGTACCAGGAGCGGACTGACCATTTGGACATTGCCCAAGGGCCCGGGGTCAGTAGGGGGCCCGGTGAGACGCTCGCTGGGCACAATTCACTAAGCGGTATTTTACTGCATCCAAGTATGCGGTAGGATACCGCATAGCATTGGTTTTTTTTTAAAGTTTGAATTCACAAAAAAAGCTACTCAAATACTGCATGAGTTATTTTATCAAATAATGCGGTATTTTAGTAGTGAAAAGCATGCATTAATGTTTCAGCTGTCAGCGGGGTTCCCCACTGACAGCTGAATGTAAAAGAAAGAATTGCCAGCAATTAAAAAAATTATTTAAAAAATGGCGTGGGCCCCCCCTCCATCCATACCAAGCCCTTCAGGTCTGGTATGGATTTTGAGGGGAACTCCCACGCCAAAATTTAAAGAAAAAAAACGCAATGGTGTCCCCCCCAAAATCGACACCAGACCCATATCCAAACATGAAGCCCCGCAGGTGAGAAAAGGGGGGGGACGAGCGAGCGCCCTCCCCCCCCTCCTGAACCATACCAGGCCACATGCCCTCAACATGGAGGGAGTACTTTGGGGCAGGGGGGGCTCCCCCCCCAAAGCACCTTGTCCCCAAGTTGTGGCACAATCACATCCCCATGTAGGCCACAGCCTCTGAAACACCTATCACTGTAAGATGGATTCATACCTGCAATGCCAGCTGGAACCCAATACCACCTCAGAAGGACCTTGTAGGCTGATTCCAGCATGGTCGTGTTGAAGGGTTATTTTGCTATGGATGACCAGGCCTTGTTCCATTTTTAAGGGTCAATAGAGATCCTTAAGTCTTGCTCCCAGCTGAGCTTATAGGAAGTGGAAGAAGGGGGGTCAGTAGCATTCAAGGAGGAGTAAATCAAGGAGATGGTATCCAAAGCTCTGGATATGTTCAAAGCCTGTAGTTTAATCTGGTAAGGTAGAATTACATCTCAGGGAGGTCACCCAATGGTGAAGCTGTATATAGCAAAAGGACTCCACAGGTGGGGCATCATAGGTCTCCTGAATGGAAGACCATGAAGGGAATGTGCGGGATGTAAGAACGTCACAGACCTGTGTGAAGCCATGGGATGACCACCATGTAATTGCTGTAGGCTGTTCTAAGCCTGGAAGAAAAAGAGGATTATTAAGATTGCCCGAATAACGAACCATATCCCAGATTCGCAGGCTGTGAATAATAATTGGGCTACGTGGAGAAGGGTGGAGCCTATAAGGGAGCCAAGGAAGAGCTGTCATAGGGATCAGTGTGCAGTTGGGAAGCTCCAGCAATACCCAATAGGGGATATCTGTTGTACTATAAAGAAGGGTGAGCTGGGAAATTTGTGCTACCATGTAATATTTGGTGATGTTAGGGACTCCAAATCCTCCTATGCAGTTTGTGGGTATACAGGGTGCAGCGCGAAACTCTGGGGCGTTTGTAGGCCCAGATGAAGAAGAGGATTCTCCTCTGTATAAGATGCAGGTAGAAGGAGGGTACGTAGACTGGTAAGGTCCTAAAATAGTATATTTTACGGAGTATGGTCATTTTGACCGCATGGATGCGACCAATCCAAGATAAGGAAGAGAACTGCCAGGATTGCATGAGAGAGGTGATAGTCCTCAGAAGTGGGTAGTAATTGGTCGCAAAAGGAGTGGAGTAGGAAGGAGTCAATTTGACCCCCAGATTGTCCAGGGAAGAAGTAGCCCAGTGATAGGTTTTGTGAGCTACTATGGTGTATAGACAATGTGAATGAATATTTAAATATTGTGAATAATGTGAAAACAAATACACACATATTCATACTAGTGTGTCACAGTGAATAAAAATCAAAAATAAGTGTCGCGCTCCACTAACAGTAGTAATACAAAATATCAAATATGTGAATAGAATAAATATATAAATAATAATCTAACATCAAATTAGAAGTGACAATGCAATCATGCTGCTGCTGCATACATGTCCTTAATTAATCTGTGATTCTGACATTTCTTCTAATGGTGTAATACGAATTATATATCGTGCAGTCCGCCAAAGAATGTGTACACCTTCACCGGTTGTACTCTCACCTGGCATATATGACCCAAACCGTTAAGTGAGGTCATAAAAGACTTGTGTCCCTTTAATTGGACTTAGAGGTGTAACATGTAATATACAGTTGTGTTCAAAATAATAGCAGTGTGTTGAAAAAAGTGAATAAAGCTCAAAATCCTTCTAATAGCTTTTATTTCCATACACACAAATGCATTGGGAACACTACACATTCTATTCCAAATCAAAACATAAAGAAAAATATATCAAATTTGTGTTGTTCCTCTAAAAAAATTTAAGAAAAGTGAATATTGGACTGTTCAAAAAAATAGCAGTGTTTGTATTCTTCTTTACAAACTCAAACATTCACTATATAAACTGAAAAATGTTTGAAGATTTTGCTTTCCTTTGAATCACTTAACTAATATTTAGTTGTATAAGCACTGTTTCTGAGGGCTGCTGTACATCTGTGTTGCATGGAGTCAACCAACTTCTGGCACCTGTGAACAGGTATTCCAGCCCAGGATGATTGGACTACATTCCAGAGTTCTTCTCTATTTCTTGGTTTTGCCTCAGAAACTGCATTTTTGATGTCACCCCACAAGTTTTCTATTGGATTAAGATCCAGGGATTGGGCTGGCCACTCCATAACGTCAATCTTGTTCGTCTGGAACCAAGATGTTGCACGTTTACTGGTGTGTTTGGGGTCATTGTCTTGTTGAACACCCATTTCAAGGGCATTTCCTCTTCAGCATAAGGCAGCATGACTTCTTCAAGTATTCTGATGTATTCAAACTGATCCATGATCCCTGGTATGTGATAAATAGGCCCAACACCGTAGTATGAGAAACATCCCCATATCATGATGCTTGCACAACCATGCCTCACTGTCTTCACAGAGTACTGTGGCTTGAATTCAGTGTTTGGGGGTCGTCTGACAAACTGTCTCCAGCCACTAGACCCAAAAAGAACAATCTTACTTTCATCAGTCCACAAAATGTTGCGCCATTTCTCTTTAGGCCAGTCAATGTGCTCTTTGGCAAATTGTAACCTCTTCAGCACGTCTTTTTATCAACAGTGGGACTTTGCGGGGGCTTCTTGCAGATAGCTTGGCTTCACATAGGCGTCTTCTAATTGTAACAGTACTCACAGGGAACTTTAGACCTTCTTTGATCTTCCTGGAGCTGATTGTTGGCTGAGTCCTTGCCATTTTGGCTATTCTTCTATCCATTCGAATGGTAGTTTTTCGCTTTCTTCCACGTCTTTCAGGTTTTGGTTGCCATAAAAAGCATTTGAAATCATTTTAGCTGAGCGGCCTATCATTTTCTGCACTTCTTTATATGTTTTCCCCCTCTCCAATCAACTTTTTAATCAAGGTACGCTGTTCTTCTGAACAATGTCTGGAACGACCCATTTTCCTCAGAATTTCAGAGAGAAATGCACTGTAACCAGCATGTACAACATTTGCTGCCTTCCTTCCTTAAATAAGGGCAATAATTGCCACCTGTTTTTCAAAGAATGAATGACCTCACTAATAGAACTCCACACTGCTATTATGTTGAACATGCCCCTTTCAATTAGTGATTCAATTACACAGAATCAGCAGCATGCATGTCATGACTGTTGGGTCTGTTGGATTTCTATTACTCTACTACAGCTGCTAGTAAATTATTTGCCATGTAGAAATATAATTTCTACCAAAAACAGTGATTGATCAGGTTAGTGATGTCTGACTGCTATTATTTTGAACACAACTGTATTCCTAAAAGTGAACTTAGCCTTTAAAGTGTAAAAGTAGTAGAGGAGAAATCTTCCAATGGGGACACTAGTTCTGGTGACCTGGGGACCTCAAGAGTATTCTTTAATTTTCAGGAATTTCCTCTTACTTCCTGTTTTGGCTATAAGACAGGAAGCGAAGGTAAATCTCCACAATGGGACCCAGATGGCAAAAATAAACCTTACAGGGGTTATAACCTTCCCTTACTCTATCCAAAATGAAAAAAAAGTTTTGCCTATAGTTCTGTTTTAAGTGTGGTTGTGAGGTATCCCAGGAAGAATATCTACCACATGTAAGGAGTTATAAGTGGCACTGTATATAAGTATATTGGGTTTACTGAATAAAATGGTTATTTTTTCTTAGTTATCATACGGTGCACTGCTGCCCTAAACTGCTTAGATGTGGTCACCTAGTATTGCCAGTAACAGCCATTCGGAATTCATCTTGCACTTAGCTGACTCTGCTGTGGGTCCGTTCATAGCTTCACTTCTTTTTGCATGTCTTTATCATATAGATCTAATAGTACCTTAAATCATAGCCCTGAAGCAGAGTTCCACTTTAAAGTAACACCTGTGATATTGTTATTTGAGATTCTGATTAGAAGATAAACAAGTTCTTGCCTACAGGTACAAACTGTGGGTGGATTCGTGTGCAGAAATATTTGGTGGCTTGGACATCTGCGCAGTGGAAGCCCTGCATGGGAAGGATGGGAGAGATCATGTTATTGAGGTAAGCCATAGCTAGGTACCTTGTGAAAAAAAGATATTTAAAGAGTAATTCACCTGACTAAATGACGGCCACTGCAGACAAGATGCAGAAATGTAGCCTGGTCAAAGGTTTACTTTAACTGGTACATAAACCCTAACAAAAAATATATTTTCTGTTTTTGTCCATTAGGAATTAAAGTGTTACTAAACCCCGGACCCTGCATTCACTATATCTGGTCTCCCACAGTATACAGAACATGGAAATGCAATTACTTTAGTAAATATAAACCGCTAAATACCTTTTCTCATCAGCGGTTAGAGCAGTCTTGTGACTTCAGCTGAGCACTGGTTAAAGCTTGTAGGAAGAGGTTTTTTTCTGCTCTAGGAGGATGTAAAACCCCCGACCCTCTGTCTGGACAGTGCTGATTGGCCCTGTGCTGATAACATGCATTCTCCCAAGAAAAAAAAAAAACGCTCCGAGGTTGTGCAGAAGGGCTATAGGTTCAGTCTGTCTTATCAGCGTGTATATTTGAACAAGAAGAGAGGCAGAGAAGTCAGGATCAAACAGCCTTTTCACACAATGCAGAGGATTAACCTCTTAGGTTCCACAGTGAGTATAACAAGCATGCTTTACTGCATATACAGACTGATTTTACTCTTGTGGGTTTAGTAACACTTTAACCGCTTCCCGACCGTCCTATAGCAGAAATACTGCTACAGGGCAGCACGGGTGGGCAAAATCACGTATATATATACGTGATTTTGCATTTCTGGGTAGGGGGTGCACACGAGCGCCTGGTGATTACCGAGCATTCCTGACAGGGGGGAAGACTCTTTTGTTTACAAACACTCTCCCTCCCTGTCAGCTTGGGCACACTGCTCAGGAGGGCTATGCACCCGCCCGGTGATTTCCGAGCATCTCCGAAGGGGGAGGGAGACTGTTTTGTTTACAAACAGTCTTCCTCCCTGTCAGCTCAGGTACACTGCTCAGGATGGCTGTGCACATTCCGGTGCCCGGTGATTATCGAGCATCTCCGACGGGGAGGAAGACTGTTGTTTCCAGTTTTCCTCCCTGTCAGCTCAGGCACACTGCTCGGGGTGGCTGTGCATAGCACAGCCATCCCGATCAGTGTGCTTACAGTGAAGCACACCCCCCCCCCTCCCCCTAGTAAAACACTCCCTACATATAGTTAACCCTTTGATCGCCCCTCATATTAACCCCTTCCTGCCCAGTGCCATTAGTACAGTGTCAGTTCTTTAGCACTGATCACTGTATTGGTGTCACTGGGGATGTCAGTGACACCAAGTTAGTTCCCCTCAGTGTCAGAATGTCTGCCACAGTCCCAGTAAAAGTCGCTGATCGCCACCATTACTAGTAGAAACATTTTCACGTAAACCAATTAATTTACATGTATTGTGATTTTTTTTTTAGCAAAGACATGTCGTAGAATACATTTTGGCCTAAACTTTTGAAGAAATTAGATTTTTTTTTTTTTCCTGGACTTGTTTAATAGCAAAAAGTCCAAAATGTTTTTTTTAATAGTGTAAAAAACACACAGGCAATCAAAATACCACCTAAAGAAAGCTCAATTTGTGGGGAAAAAAAGATGTAAATTTCATTTGGTTGCAGCGTTGCATGACCGCACAATTGTCAGTTAAAGTAAAGCAGCACCATAACGCAAAAAATGGCCTGGTCAGGAAGGGGGGTAAATCCACTGGAGGGCAAGTGGTTAACCTTCAAACTATACTGCCACCTACAGGAGGACTAGACACTGGCAGACAGAAGAAAAATAGTAGGTCAGTTCAGAGTAATGTCTCTTACTACCAGCATTCCTCAGTTTTTTGCTAGTGTCCTAGGAGCAGCTCTGCTATGTTAAAAACTAACATTTATTTGCTAGCACCAATTTTCTTTGTTTTTTTCTTCAAAGCTCTTTGTCAAAGCTCTGGGAAGCTGCATTCAAGTTAAAAATATCTGCATGGAATGTACCAAATCTCTCATCGCCTCCCTTAACAAGGGAGACTTTTTCCTTCCATGAACAAAAATGTTTACGCATATGTCTCCATCTTTCCAGTAATTCCTACACTTTGCTGTGTTCAGTTTTTTCTTCCACACCTCAGGTATTCCTCAAGGTGCTAGCCCTAGTATTAGCCATGCTGTGCTCTTGTGGCATCCCCAGGTGTAGGATACTCAAATGACCTCCTGTAGAGGGAACAGTCGACGCAGGCTTTGTTGGGCAGCATAACTTTGGCTGTCCATACCATGCAATTCAGATGCATCTTGAACCTTCAGAAATTATCACTGAAACTGGCTTTTCAGTTGGAATAACTGGGTCTAGTCCTGGACGCAACTCAGGCCAGAGTGTTCCTTTCACAGGAAAAACTTTAGACACTCCAGTAGCTGATTCTGAAGCCTAGGTCTGATGGTAGCTTCTTTTGAGGCATTTCCATTTACATAATTTCACTCCAGACCTCTACAATGTTATTGTCATTGTGGAATTTGTTGATCCTATCACTGGAAGGACTGATTCTTTTATCACTGGTGACCAGACTGTCCCTGGCCTGGTGGTTCATGATTTGAGCAATTCCTTATTTCCCATATTTTGGAGTATCTTCATGGTGGACCTCAGACTGTCAGGCTAGGGAGGAGTCCCGGGAACCTGGTGGTGCAGGAGACTTGCAGTGTTGTCTTCTGATCAACATCCTCAACCTTTGGGAAATTTGGCAGTCTTTTCAGCAATATATCATTTTACTAAAGGGTCATCTCATCTGGATTTAGTCAGACAACATCATAGCTGTGGCATACATCAATCAGTAGGAAGGAATCATACGTCTTGGCATGGCAACAGAGGTAGAATGGATCCTGTGCTGCACAGAACTTCATGTTCCAGCCTTGTTAACCATGTATATTCCAAGCATAGGCAATTGTTCAGGACGACTACACCCAGAGGTGTTCCAGGACCTGTGTCACAGGTGGGGGATGCAAATTGTGGACTTTCTGACCTCCACATTCAACAACAAACTTGACAATCTTGTCTATAGGTACATGAATCCTCCTAGCAAAAATAGTGAATGCTTTGGTGACGTAATAGGACAAGTGCACATTTATTTATGGATTTCTTTTCCTGAAACGTATTCTTGTCTGATTCACAGGATTGAGATGAAGGCATTCCAGTGATCCTCAGAGCTCCGGACTGGCCTAGACAAATTTGGTACTCCTGGCAGGAGCTCCATGGATTCTGTCAGACTGTCAGGATCCTCCGTCCCAAGCAGTGGTTTGCCATCCTGCTTCACAGAGGCTGGGTTTAATGGCATGGCTGTAGAAACTTAGCTTCAAGTGTATCTTTAAGTCTCTGATTCTTTTATGGCTAAAAGCTAGGATATCTACTTCCCACAAGTTCTGTTATCAGACATGGAAGACATACTTTGCTTGATGTGAGTTTAGGGCTTTACTCCAGGAGTTTCTTCATGGGATGAATCCTCTCTGTCCTGTACCTGGGTCTGGACCAGTATTTAGCTCTCAGCCGGAGGCGACACAGCTTATGATTTAGCCTGCATACTTTTGTCAGTGGAGACACACAATAAATGTGAGTGTAATGCTTGCTTTTTATAATTACATTTTTTAAGATGGTTTTACGCTACGAGAGACTCCTATCTCTTAATTCTTCTTGCTTATGAGTTAACATATGGAACAGTTTCTTGAGTGACCGATGGATGGAAGCTGTGGATCCAGAGTTTTCGACATGGTGTGCGCTAACCGCTGGTTTATAATTTTACCAGCATTGGGCTCTGGTGTGTTTACCCAGTACATAAGGTGGTGGAGAGCACTTTATTTTGGTGTTATAGAGGAGAATATAAGAAGGATTATTTATGTGGATACCTGGGACTTTTATGAATCATTATAATTTTTTTGGACTTGATTAAGTCTTTCCCTATTAATTTTCACTGGATAGCTTTGCATGGATTTTTTCACAGCTATTGATATATGAATTTTTGCATTTTGATTTTCATTGTATTTATATAGTGATATACTGTATATTCACTGCACAACACTAAGCACTTTGTTAGGTTATATATATATAGGTATTTGTATATTATTTTTTGCACATTTATTTTTATTGTATGAACTGATATATAGATATTCACATAATTTTTTGCACAGCACATAGTACTTTAGGTTTTTGCACAGTGATAGATGTGCCCATAGAGTGGTTAGAATGCACTTTATTGATTACACTTTTATAAGGGTTTTGAATAGGGCTTTTTCCAGTAGTGCTGTCTTTTCTATACTGTTCACATACTTGCAATGAAATATCTATATAATTTTAAGATAGGGGCTGTTGAACCAGTTAGTATAATATTGTGGACCGTGGCGCAGTTCCAGGAATTGTTTTGTAGTTTCACAAAAGATCACCTTTCTTGATTGCCATCACCTTTGGATGTAGAATTTCTGAGCTGAGGGCATTGCCATGCAAGCCCGCAGCCAAGGTGATAGCAGCTTTTCATCTTAATGAGGCACCTATGGTGATTGAGCCTTAAGGCGGCCATAGACTTGTGAAAAATCCTGCGATTTTTCGGACGACTTCAAAGTCCGCGGATAATCTGTTCGTGTATGGGCAATCTTGTTTGCGGATTTTCATATTTTTTTGTCTTCTCGAATATCGTTGGAGCTGGAAAATTTTTAGAAAATGACCGAATTTCTTCCCATTCATGACAATATCCCCCCGCTTGATTTTCTAAACGACAAATTAATGCGCATGTACGATGACCTGGAAGTTTCTTAGGGAACGGATATTCTTATCCGGGAGAAGGTCAAAAGTTTTGGTGTTTAAACAGGACAGTATGTCATGGCATGTCATGTATTTCTGTGCAGTAATCTTTGTGTTTGTTATGCAGAATAACATGCATCCACTATGCTTATTGTGTAGTGCTTAAATACCCCATAATTAATGTTATGTATTGCACAATTGCCACATAACACTTTATGTATATATATATATATATATATTTATTCAAAAAAAGAAC